AGTTGCACACACGCACACAAAGACACGCAGCCCAATCGCACACGCACACGCACACGCAGACACACGGACCAGCGTTGCGCACACACACGCACACACAGAGCCCAACTGCGCGCGCACACACACACACACGCACAACCCAGCATTGCGCGCACACACACACACACACACACACACACGCCGCCCATTCGGACCACGGGGACCCCCCCCCCACGCCTCCTCTTCTCAGGCGGCGAGGGCTGGCGTGGGCCACCCCGGCTGTCGTCAGCCTGAGCGTGGAAGGCTGGAGATTCCTCAGGGTGACGCGCTGAGGGCAAAGCACCCCCGGGGAACAGCGTTTCCTTACGTCTGATGGGACTTTTGTCCATTTTCCAAGTGGGGTCTGTGCCCGCTTGTCCTCAGAGCCCTGCCCCACAAGCAGGGGAGAAGGGGAGAAGGGCTCCGCGAGGGATGCTGGAAGTTGCTCAGCAGCGGGGAGCTTCCCCCACCCGGATCTGGCCGGGGAGTGGCGGCTGTGGTTTGTTTTCTGCATATTTCTTTATGCAGAGTTTTAGCGGTTGGACATCCATTTGCAGCTGTAGAAGCGCAAAGGCTGCGCTTGCTGCGTCCTTCTGTGGGACCTGCCGGCTTGCTGAATCGCCGGCCGCGGGGCCTCCGCAGATGGTGCAGTGACATGCACTTTTTCTTTTTGTAATAAAACCAAAACAAACCCACAGGAGCCAAAAACCAAACCCACAGGAGCGCTGGCCTGAGCTGGGATGGGGCTCGGGCTTTGAAGCCAACGCAAGTGCCCTCGGTTTTGCCACCCTGGTTTCCAGAGCCACCTGCCTGCGGTGCCCGGCCCTAGCCGCTCCTGTGCACCGAGGGCCTCAGCTTTCTGGGGTGGGAGCGATGCAGCTCTTTGCTCTGTCAGTCCCAAGCTGTTCTGGTTTGTGACTCCCTCTCTGCCACCTTTCCTCTGACCAGGGATGGGGCTCGGCACGGTGAAGCTTCGGAGGCCCTCAGCAGGGGAGCAGCCCACCCAAGGAAGACGGCAAGGGGTTGCGGTCTGAGCCACACAACCGGTACGGCACCTCACACCCTGCTGCCGGTTAACCTGCCGGGGCTGGGGGTGCTGCTGCTGGGAGAGCTGGTGGGGACGGGTGGTCCTTTGTGGAGACGGGGAGTGGGGAGAGGGTGCTCAAACAGAGGTCCCAGAGCCCTTGGGTCTGAAAACACCCTCCTTATCCTGCCCTATAATAGAGAGTGAAATGAATGCCTTGCAGGCACAGAGGCAAATTTCTTTGATGTGCCCTATAAAAAAACAGCAAAGCAGGTCACTCGTGGAATAAGAAATGAAGCAGCAGTGTTGTCATCCCTGGAGAAGGCAGGTGTCTCAGTGGTGGGGCTCTGGTGATGACCTCCTCTCTGCAGCAGCGAGGAGCCAGCCCGCCATTTGCAGGGGTACTTGCTGGGTTACACACTGTCCTGCAGTGCTGGCTGCTGGAGTTGGGGCTGCTTTTCCCCGCGGCGGGCTCAGGGCAGGATCAGGCCTCTCCTGGTGGGGCAGGTGAGATGTTCCTTGCCCCGAGCCGACTTCTTCCCCCTCTCTTCCTCTGCTCTTAGGCAGGGCGATGAAGCTGAACGAGCGGAGTGTGGCTCACTATGCCACCTGCGACTCGCCTGCCGATCATGCTGGCTTCCTCCGCAAGCGGGTGGAGCGGCACCACCACCATGCCCACCACCACCACGCCACCTCCTACCAGCGCCGCTGGTTCGTCCTCAAGGGCAACCTCCTCTTCTACTTCGAGGAGCGGGAGAGCCGGGAGCCCGTGGGGCTGGTGGTGCTGGAGGGCTGCACTGTGGAGCTGTGCGAGGCCGCCGAGGAGTTCGCTTTCGCCATCCGCTTCGACGATGCCGGCGCCAGGGCTTACGTGCTGGTGGCCGATGGGCAGGCTGCCATGGAGGCCTGGGTGAAGGCGCTCTCGCGGGCCAGCTTCGACTACATGCGGCTGGTGGTGAGGGAGCTGGAGAAGCAGCTGGAGGAAGCCTGCAAGAGCTTAGCCGCTTGCCGCAAGTCTCCGCGGAGGTCCTCCTCCTCCGGCAGGAAGAGGCACCTCTCCAACCCCGCCTTGCTGCCTCTCCAGGAGAAGCCTGCCGTCCTGGAGAACGGTTACTCCACGTGGGGTAGTGGTGGTGGTGTCCCTGAGGGGGCCGCTTGCCCCGACCGTGATGGGGGGCATGCAAAGCCCCCACCCCTGCCTCCGCGCCGGCGCTCGGCCGCTGGCAGTGCCGCGGGGTCCCCGGCACCCGGCTTCTCACTGGCCATGCCAGAGAGCCCGGTGTCACCAGAGACAGCCTGCTTCTCCAAGCTGCACAGCTGGTATGGGCAGGAGATCGCGGTGCTGAGACGGGAGTGGCAGGAGAGACAGAAGAGGGGACACCCGTGACCGGGGGCACGAGCCACCGGCCAGCCGATGCCCGGCAGCCTGTCTCCCACGCGGGAAGAGCGAAGCGAGGGATGCTGCTTGCCCCCTGCCCTGGTCGGTGGCCGAGTGTGCGGTGCGTGTGTGCTTCACGGGGTGTGTGGGAGGGACCCGGGTCTTCCCCAGACCTCACATTTCATTTCCATGAGGCTTTATACAGCTGGAGAGTGTGTAGTACCAGGGGAGCTGCCTTTGAACTCTCCTCTGCTGGTGATACGAGGTGTGGAGGGGGCCCAAATCGGCACGTATGCAACAAACCTCACCCAACAGGCTTGGCCCCTTGCTGTCCTGGCATGGTGGATGCTCTAGGTGCTTCATTGCCCACCTCCTTCACCACTTTCTTTTGGTTTTGTTTCTCAGTGTGGAAGTTTGCACAGGTCAGCATTTATTACTGTCTGTGGTCTTGCGCCGAAGTCCTTCTGCCTTTGCTCTTTTGCTGCAGATAAGGCTGGGCTCTTATGAAATGCCTCCAACGGGTGGGCCACTGGCCCTGGCAGGTGCCTCCAGCCTTGTGCCTCTCTTGCCACGGGACACATGAGCCACCATGGCTGTGGCTGGCCCAGCAGCCAGGGCAACAAGGACCAGGCTCTTGTGTCATTGGTTTTTTTTACTTTCATCTGCACTAACCCTCCTCCCTGCTAAATCCCTCAGGATGTGGATTTCACGGGCTTGCATCTGTCTCTTTGGGCGCCCAAGCTCAGCAGCGAAGCTGAAATGGAGACACCGAGCCTGGTCTGAAGCAACAGTGAGGACCAGGATCTCCCCAGGGCTGATCTGGACTCTGTCGAGCGGTAGCCAAGCCTGTTAATGTCTCCAGCCCAAGCCTTCGCTGTTCCAAAACAGGGATGCTAAAGCCTCTTTGCCTTGCCAGGGGTGAATTCATCAGCCTCTGCGCTGACTGTAGCTCCTGCAAAGTGCCATACAGGGCTCAGCTGGCTCGTTGGGCAGCTTGACTGAGACGGCGTCCAGAGCTGCACTCTTGCAGAGTCTCTCTCGCTGTTGTGGCTCTGCCCGGCTCCTGGCAGAGCTGCGCAGTCGGAGGAGAGACTGTGGTGGGGAGGAGAAGAGGGCTGGCCCCGGGAGGAGAAGTGAAGGTGTGGGAGTGCGTTACAAGTTGCACTGACTGACTGTGTGTCAGCAGTGTCTGGGCTTGCCCCTCTAGCGTCAAAGCCATATTGCTGCCTTCTACCAAAGCCAGCGCCTGACCTGCCGGCGCTTCCCTCCGATTTCCTGTCAGCATCACTCGGCTGATCTCCGTAGCACGTCCCATCCTCCCAGTGGGTGAGGAGGGCTGCGGGGAGGCACGCCTGTCGCCCTGCTACAGAAACGGACTTGTCCTTCGCCAGTAGGTCAGAAACCTTGGTCACGAGGCAGATGGTACAAGTAGGTGGGTGCTGAGTCCAGGGGCTGCAGCACCTTGGAGATGGGGTTGACAAATCTTCTCCCTTATCCTCTCGGCAAGGGCTGTTTTTCAAAGCAGAAAAAATACGTAAAGCAGTCTTGTGCTTGCTATCTAACATTGTTAAACCTGTTTTTATTGCCCTGTTTTGTTAAGGAGCCTTGCTAGGAAAGCAAGAGGCTATTCTAGGTCATGACCGGTGTTGTGGTTTAACAACTGGTAGGAACCTATTTACCTTTCTGGACTTAAACGCACTCAGCTTAATACTTTGCAATAGCCAGTAGAGATTGTCAATGCAGAAATCAAATGACTTCCATTAACTTTTGGTGCCTTTGCAAATATATCTCTGGTAGTTTTGGATGATGAGCTTCCAACCTCCTGCCTAATTATGGCTCGATGGTGTATTAGAGGAAATCAGATCTTAAATCATATCTTACAAATATGACTTTGGGCAGTGGGAGTGTAACCTTCACATACGAATGATGCAATCCAGTCCTCTCCAGTTAGTGTCTGTATTTCTTCACAGTAGGGATCTTCGAGTTTGGGAGTATTCTTTTTATTCTGCTTTTTAAGTGAAAACGGTTTGGAAAAACCAGGAGCAGGTGGCTACGGGCCAGTGCCCAGGCTCTGTTGCAGCCCAGCTGGCTGGGCTTACGGGCCAGCTCTGCCTCCCTACCTGCTGCTTAAATTGCTCAGTGCTGCAGCATTCCCGGCTGGGAACCTGTCCCCTTCCCCATGGCAGGGCAGCAGCATCAGCGGATAGCACTACCTGGTGCCTCCTCGCTCTGAGCGTGGGTATTTTGGGGCCAGGGTCAGATTTGCCAAGCATTTTTCTGTTTGGGTTTTTTTTTTTTTTTTTAATGTAATACAGAGAGAATAATATTCCTGATGTCTCAGACTTACATAAGGCAGTTTGACGGTAAAGATTTAACTTCCAAAATAAATCAAAATGTAATGGCAGTTCCTACGTGAGACCCAAGAATCGGGAGTGACTTGAAAGGGAAAATACAAAGCCAGTTCTGTCAGAACTGGAACTGAAACAGTATTATTCATTTAAGGGCAGTTTCACTTTTAAGAAGCTTAGTTTGCTTTAATAAGCCAGGATTGTGCTAGTAACACTACTAAAGAGCTTATATTTAATGCTTTAATCTGTCCCATTCAAATGGCACAATTTCCATGCTACCTGCCTTTGCGTTGGTACATATCCCGACTAAATCCTAAATCCTGCAAATGAGGAGCTGTGCTCTGCTTTCTGTCTGATCGCATTTGGAGTAATTTTGTGTTTTATTCTGCAGCGCCGAGAAGAAAATGGCTGAATCTTGAACAGTATTTGTGCTCGGCCCAGCTGTCCATGCCTGGGCTTTGCTAGGTCTCCAAAGCGCCGTGTGACTTTGGAGGCGCTTGGTCAGGGTTTCCTCACCATCCCGCTCACATAGCAGGGATGGCCCTTTTGTGAGTAAAAAGAGCCATAATTGGAGCCATGCCCAAATCTGTATGGGAGTACAGTTTTTTTCATGACCACCGCCGCTTGCTTCATTAGGCAGGAAGCACCGGCGTGCTCCGCCACCTCCTCTGAGATGGAGGCTATCGAACCAGCTCGGCTGAGGATCAGTTGTGCTGGTAGCGCCTTTGAAGCAGCCCCCAGGCAGAAGGTAGGGATTTCAGCTTCCTGAGATTGCACATGCATCTGGCTAATGGAGTGTCCTCTCTTTCTGTCTGCAGGCAGAGATCATTACAGGAAAAGCAGAAAGTTTTAATTGTCCCCTACAGCAGAATGAGAATGATTGCCACTGTTTTTTCTCCAGTCATTCAGGTTTGGACTGTTTCACCTCCCGCCTTCACTTTCCCTTATTATTTTTTAAAAATAGAAAATGCCTGGGCAGCACAAAACAGGTTCCCTAGCAAAGGGGGGCTGAACACTAAAGCTGAATGGCTACTTTTCTTAAAGTACTGAAGTCAAATCCTTTTCTAAGAGTTTTCTTTAGCATAATAATGCAAAAGCAATGAGAGAAAAATGCTTGACTCTGAATGCTTGAATTTAAAAGAAATTGAAGACTGAGAGAGGGAGGGAGATTCTGACATGGCCTTTGTAAGCTGTGCCAAGAAGGGCTCCCAATCCTGTTAAAATAGTTGATGAAATCCTTCTGTTTTTCTGAGGCTGGGATTTCGGATTCAAGCCCGTAATGTATTGTTTTATTTCTGCACGTTTATCGTTTTATAAAACAACTGTGGTGATGTTTTCCACTGAATCCAGGTCCTAGCAATAAGAGTAACCTAAGGATTTTACCCGTGGCCACCACTAGCCGTTTGGTGGACATTTACAACCACAATCGGACACTTTCCGTTACCATAGCTACCACATTCATAGTTTGGGGGTGGGTGACCCCCCAGTCTTACCCCTCTCAGCTGCCTTTGCGGAGAGACTTAAATAACCCCCACTGAAACGCACAGGGAACGCGTGGAGTTCCCGTGTCGGTGGCATCTTTCACCAGCACCGAGCGCGCTTTATAATCTGCACAATTACCAGGCAACACTACGAGCAACCTGCAGAAACACTCCCGCCTTTTGAAGTGCTTGTGTTTTAGGTAGACGACGTGTTCTTTTTTAAGAGGCGGTTTTGCATGCGCCTGTGTTTTACATGCGGAACTTGTATTACCCGTTTCAAGACATATTGTTAACGTTTGTATTTTATGCCGCGAAGCCGAATAAACCGTTTTGATTTGTAGCCCGTGCGCTGCCAATGGAGCTGCGAACCCCCAACACCCGCGGGAAGCGGCTGCAGGGCCTGGCGATTCCCGCCCTGCCCGTTGGCGGGGGCGGCTCCGT